AGCGGGTTAAAAAAAAAAAATCCTAAAATACTTTTATTCAAATAATTAAAATCTGTCGATGAGGAGACTGATATACAGCGCAATGATTTAGTCTACAGGGGGACTGTACAGGGGAAGCCGTGAGGGGAGGCCCCGCCGCCATCTTCCCCCGGCAGGGCTGGGGCGGTCGCAAAAAACAGGATGGTGGTGCCAGGCCCCGGCCCGGCTGTTGGCACAGCACGGAGGCACCGGTGGCACCGCGAGGCCCACCCCCAACAACAACGGAGACGGGTTTGTGAACAAGGCAAATCCTCTCCGTTCCCACACCTGCCATACTCCCTTCTTCACCTTAAGTGGCATCTCACACATGGGTTAGTACGGTGCGTGATACAGCAGTGGCTAAAACCAGATTTTTTTTAAAAATAAAACCCCCACATTTAGGAAGAACCAAGATGAGATCATTCTCAGAAGAGAAAGGATATCCTTTTTAAGGTCACTTTTTAAACCTCTTCTTCCCCTCCCTTCCACCCACACAGTGAAATTATCAAGTTTCCAGTAGGTTCAGCTGTAAAAATGAGAAAAGGCAAGTTTCACCCTGATTTAGGAGAGTAAAAAACCATCTGAGAGGAAGCTTCCCAGCTTCCCCAAATTAAAAAGTTTTTAAAAGGCAACAGTCATTTCCTGGTTCTGTAATTTGTTAAACAAGCCTAGATAATCTCAAGATCTGTTAACATCACAGCAAGTGTGAGAGTGGCGAGGGAATGTTTAATACATTTGTGTTTTTTGTTTTTCTTTTTTTTGTTTGTTTTTTTTTTTTTTTTACAAAAAAAAGATGCAGCATATGTTAACATCTATACAATTCCCTTCCAGGACAACAAACCGTTGGTCAGTAGTGATTCAGGACACTAAGGACGTGACAGAGACACAAGCAAAACCCAAAAAATTACGAGTCACGTGTCAGTCGTCTGCCAGGTCAGCATCTGCACAGGGTTTTCTGTACACAGCTAATATACACACGTGCTTCCTAGCACATCCGCTCTCCGTTCCTCAGCTTTCCAACACCAGAGCTGCCAGGTTTTTCCCCCCCCTCCTCTTGGTAAAAAGGAGGAGGAAATGAAGGAGATGAACCCTCGAAAGGAGTAAGTCCAGCTGAGAACTGGGCCTGTCAGGGCTGAGAAAGGGAGCTGGGGAACGAACCGTTCGTTCACATGTGCGTGCTCTCCTGGCAGGGATGCTGGTGCCGGAGCAGAGGCGTATTGCTGAGCCGTGCGAGGTATAGTGTTCAGTTCCAGCCTGATGGCACTCGAGACGTGTTTGTTCCAGTGAAACGCTACATTCAGACAGGATTCCCCTTCCCTGGCCGAAAGCCCTTTTCTGGATATGTTTTGAAGGCAAATCTTGGAAGAGCCGAGGTTCTACCCTCGCTGTATTGCCTAGGAGAGGGATGCAGAGAACTTCCAGTCCTCTCAGGTCTCTTGCTCGCTTCTTGGAAGATTATGGTCGATGGTACCTAGAAGCCAAGTGAAAAATACGAGTGTCACCCTTGGAACTCAGGTTAAATGGTTACCGAGACACTACAGATGGTCAAAACCAGTAAGCTGAATTATCTCTGAACTCTCAGCCCTCACAGAAACTGTTAACATCAAACGATTTCACCTCTGCCTTGGAAAGCTCTTGTGCTCTACAAACACTCAGCCACACAGAGCAACTGTTGAGGGGAGAAGAATCACCCAGGCCATGATCCACAGGTTACTTCATAGATGTCAGAGGCAATTACCAAGGTGTTTTGTAGCTCCTGCTGCACATGCCTCTACCCCAGAAATGCGCACTCCAGCAGCAAGGTCACACTGGTTTCAGATACACCTCCAACCAGCCACTGGTCACTTTGAGTTTCCAGGATTGAAGCTCCAGTTTAAGCAAGAACAACCTACTTCATGTCTGGTACTCCTCCAGCCACCCACCACCACCAAGGCACAAAGGGACACTAAACCCACAACTGCTGCACAGGTCGTTTTTCTGAAGTTTTAACGTTTTGCCTCTAAGCACCACCGCTGCAGCACAGCACTCTGGACTGGAACTCTGAGCTGGCCACATGTTCTCACTCACCTTGTGAACTGCTTGCTGTCCTCGTGAACTTCCATTTCACAGCTCTTAAACTCATTCAGCTCCTTCCGGATGGCAGCCTACACAAAGAAGGACAGATCGTTTTTATCACCTGCTAAGGCACATACATATATACTACTCTCTCCCACCTCCTGTGAGCTCAGACGTGGCCAGAAGGTGCTGTACCTCCCAAACCCCTGCTCAGGGCTGATCTGTACCCCCTGCCAGTGGTGAAGTGAAGAGTAAGAGCAGTTTTGACATGCAGGGCTGAGTCCCTCGGCTCCTTGATCAAGGAAGGAGCTCGGATTGCAGCAGCCACCCCAGCTTTCGCAGTCTGCTCACACTAGGCTGAGTTTAACCTGCCCCACCTCCTCCACACGGAGGGCTGGGCAGTCCCCACGAGTGGTCAAGGAAGACAAGAACGGACGGCTTTCCCTGCCAGCTGCTTTCCCAGGCCTGCCCCAGCCTGCCAGGAGCACCACTCCTCTGACCAACACCCTGCACGTTGCATCCTCTCAGATGGCTCAGGAGCTGAGGCAGAGGCCACGCTGGCGTGCAGACCGTGCCCACTTGGGCTCCATGGCCCTGTGGAGGGGGCAGGAAGCAGGGCTGGGTTACAGCACACGTGGGCGAAGGGACTCTGGTGGTGCCTGGTGGGGTGACAGAGGGGAAGCTGCAGAGGTGACGCAAAGGGAACAGAGCAAATGTCCTCGGCTCACCCTGATGTAGCTCCCCTCCGCACACCTGGGGACACGACATCCCTGTTACCTTGTCAGCTGGTGTTAGCTTTGTCCACGGCTTATCCGCTCGCCGGTCGTAGTCTTGAGCATCTGTTACTTCCACATATTCGTTAAACCTCAGGATCTTCCTGGCCTGCAGCTCTGCCACTGTAGGCCTTTGGCTAAGCTGAACGCCAGCAGGAACAAAGAAAGCCAGTTTGTGCCTTGTCCCCAAAGCAGTTCAGGACTAAGCACCCCGAGCAAAACTGAAACCAGTTCCCTCACTGGGCCTGAACCACAGATAGCACTAGGTCCTGCTGGCAGCCTGCAAGGGAACGGGCAGACCCTCCTACAGACAGTGTGATCTCGTTTGGATCACAAGGCCAGGCCAGGACCGAGGCCATGTTGCCAAGGAGAAGACTGAGGGGTTTGGGAACAGCCATTACAAGGGTGAGCCCTCCGTGACACCCCTAAACCAAGCAACCCGTTCCTCGTGTCAGCGAGGAACTCACGTTTCATACCCACAGGCCCTCGGCAAGATTTTTTTCCCCCCGTCATGAGCAACAAACCACAAGTAACCTGGACATAATAGCTGAAAGCAGCTGTTGCTCTGCTCAGCCTCTCCCACACTGCTGTTACTTTAAAAATGCATTTTGGGGAGCCTGGTGTGAAAGTCGTGGCCACTGAAGTACTGTGTTAGAACAGCTGGGCCAGCACCAGCAAACCTTTCGAGTGCCAGGTGCCAAATTTAGTTCTCATCTAGCTTGTTACGCTCGGCGCCAGCTCAGATCCATCACTGACAAACACGGCCGCAGTGCCAACGGCTTGTGCCAGCCCACGTTCCAAAGTCACTGCAGTCAGAGGGCACTGGGGACGCTTACACAATAGCCCCGTGACTTCAGCCACAGCAAGGTACCTGCGGTGTGCTCATAGCCACCCCCATGCCCCACAGCTCTGCCAGATGGCCACCGCGGCACGGCGGCCAGCAGTACCTTTCTGGTGAGCCTGCGTTTGATCTCTCGCTTCTCCGCTTGACGGTCAGCTTCATTTTTCGCTGCCAGGGGATAAAAAAAAAATAATACATTTTTCCTCTAAGCATCACAGGCTTTGAAAAGTGCTTTCAGGACTTGAACAAAAGGGAGCATCAAGCTGTATCGTTTAAAGAGAATAGCAGCACAGATAAATATTTTAAATGGAAACTTCCCGAACTGACATCTCCCTTTCCTCAAGATGTTTATTTAAAAACTTTCTGCAGAGCAAGGTATGGCCAAGAGAAACAGCACTGATTGAGCAATGAACTGCTGCTTTTTGGATCATGCAATACGATGTTGTCATGTCTGAACCACAAAAAAAAGTCCAGCCCAAACAAAAACACCTTTAACAGTCCTTGCTGTGTAACATCAGAGTCCGAACCAGTTCACACACTCGTCCCTGAGGTGTCAGGCAGGGGACAGGCAGCCTTTCTAACATGAATTAAATCACTCGGCACCACTGCTAAGGTCTGAATTTATTCAGAGTCAGTTTCTGATGCTAATAAAGTACTGGGAAAAGACAGTGGATCTGCTTTACTACAGCAATATAACCAAAGCACAGCCCTCCATCACTGCCTTTCAAGCAGGTTCCAGGTACACCTGGACTAAGATGTTAAAGGCAAACTTATTTTACTACATAGGACCACTAGAGAAGCATTACTCACGTTGAAGTATGTTCCTCTGCTCCAGTTCTTCCGCTGTCGGCCTCTGACTCAGTCGCCTAAAGAAAAGTGTGACAAGTGTGTAACCTTTGATCTGGTCATTCATCAGTAGGGGATGAAGAATGGAACTGCTTGGTGTCAGTGCACTGGAAAGCCTCCTCAACATCTCCCGTTCACCAGTGGCGATCACTGCTGCCCCATTCTGCACTCTCCTCCACCCACACAGCTGTTCACCCACAGCACAGGTCGGGAAAGCGCTGTGGCTTCCCAAAAGCTCAGAGGCACCTTTGCAGGGAGCTCAAGGAGATGGCAGAGCCCAAACTATCAGCAGCCCCAGCTTAACCCACCACCTAATGCATCAGCACTCAGCCTGCATCTATCCACCTTTTTATAGGCCATCCGTATTTTGCAGCGGTAAAATTTCTGTAGTCCTTGAGATTTTCCCTTCCCAGTCCATTTAACATCTGGAAACAGGAGATACTGCTCAACTCCAGGATGAACTTCCAACTTTTATAACCGAGGAGGAAAAGCAGCACTTAGCCTCCCAGCCCCAATGCAGCTGCAGCGCCCAACCACCCCATCACACTCCAGCACAGGCTGCTTAGACTAGACACCAGCTTCGCCCAATCCCACCGCTCACGCGCTGTGCCGACGGCTCGAACGTAACGCCCTCCTCCATTCCTCGTACCTGATCAGCGTCGTCCCAATCTGGTGCCGGATTTCGTTCCACTCCTCCTTGCTC